CGATGGTTTCGCCTAAGGCGTCTTCAATCACCTGATAAAGCGCCTCTCGTTCTTCAATCTTAAAAATTTGTGTTCTCTCAAGTTGCTCTTAACCTGTTTCTAGAATAGTGTCTTTATTGGGTACTACTTACATCCTCCTTGTTTACTGGTGTGTTGCTGTTCTTGCGACGAGGTGGAGCCACTACTATTGGATATGAGTCAGTTTGAGTACTACGACCTTCACCAGAACTGTCTTGTTGGGGTCCACGGATCTCCGGCATCACAACGGGAGCCTTAAAATGAGAAGTATGAGGTTGCGAACTTAGCTCTTATGCCTGTAGTGTACAAATGCGAAGGTAGGACAGTGACAAGTGGTGCTGTTAGTGTTACGTATGGTGTGTGAATGAATATTTGAGCCGATTTTCAGTTCGAGCGTTCTGGTGTCGTACTGTAAGTACTGTGACACTGAAGGGTGTTATGGAAAATACTTCAAGAATGCTATCCTGTCAGGAGGCTCAACATTATTTCATGAAATGAAATACATTGCATCAAAATTCGTGGAAGAATATGAGGAATACATAACCAAAGAACTGTTGCGGTTCAGAAAGAGTGATTTTTGATGAGAACTTCAAGAGAATTTTTTCGAGTAGCTAAGGGAACTCTCCAGGTTCCATGCGCCCTCTATACCCCTTCTTCTTAGAGAGTGCTGCAAAACTTCTGTACAAGCACTATTTCTGGCAACTGATTGCAGAAGACTCGCGCGCCACAGCACGCCATTTGTTCGGAGCGAGGGCGGTGGAATATTCGGAAAATTCGCGGGGAGTTGGTAGAACATGGTATAGTAAAAGGTAAGTTATGAGGGGGAGCTGAGCTGGAAGAGGTTGGGGGAAGGAGTTCTGGAAGAGGAAATTTGGTCGGCTTCTCTGGAAGGGGAAATTCGAGTGCTTGCGTTAAAAGAGGAAACATCGAGGTGTCGCACTGCCACCGCCATTCCACCCATCCCCACGCTGTGCTCTGGTCCTATCTGGTCGGAAAGTTGTGTATTGTTTACAACAGAGGCTTGCTAGCAAAAATGAAGTCAAGCATCCCCCGCTATTTTTTTTCAGCGCTGTAAATTAGGCTCTCAATGACATCATAAACATCATACGGTGAATGTATGATGAGTCACATGCATGTCTAGGATTAACTCGATGACTCCCACCACGAATGCAATCGTCAATTCCTAGTCAGGTGACCTTCTTGATATTCACAACGTTTGAAAAAATGAAGCTACGCCATGCATTCTATTTCAACTCTGAGTCGCAGTGACAAAGTGAGTGGGGTATGGCCCAGTTATACAATGGCTTTTGGGGCCAGCTAGTGTACAAGTCAGTGTTCATATTCTCCGTATACGAAGGTATTACCAATTCATCGACTCCGGAGGGAATAAAGCTTTGGCGTGAGAGTGAACCGATCTCGGATTTGAACACCGGACCGCGAGTGTGACATAACACTTGCCACTATCCACCTCCTCCTTTTCTGAACAATAGGAGCATAAAACAGGTGGATAGCAGATCAATATAAAGTTTACCAGAGAAAACCCTGTGGAGAACTGGCTGCCCTTCCTCAACATCCAAATCCAATTGATGGGGAACACGGTAAGAACCAAATGGTACCGCAAGCCGAGCAATAAGAATATCCTTGTTCATTATAATTCGGCACATCCAGCAAGGACCAAGCAAGCGGTCATTGGCAATATGTTCAAAACTGCCAGCAAGGTCTCCTCTGATGTTGCATTGGAACAAGAAGCATGAAAGATTGCGGTATCTAACGGTTATCCGGGGTCGCGACCACCACGTAATGGATTTTCCAGGCAACGGCGGGTCACAAACGTGATATCTT